GGGTTTTGTTCATGATTAAGATCTTGAACGGGATGGTCAATAGTCCCTTTCTACTGAACCAGATCACGTTTTGGATTCCTTCTAGGCGTTCTAAACGTTACAAGCCCATTAAGCTTACTATTTGTAGAACAAATTTTGAAATGCATAATGCTTTTCGTTGCCTATGCCTGGACTTTAATAAGCATTACGACTATGTTGACACCTCCGAGTCACTTTTTACCATTAAGAAAACCTTACTTGAGATTTTGAATAAATAACATGTAAACCCTTACATTGCACCTTATCGTTCAGCTGGTGAAATGTATTTCTGTTCAGTTTATGAGGTAAACGTGGTCGACTCGCATACTTTACCGACTGCGCCACGGTTGAGTTGAGCATTTGTAAATTAAACTTTGAAATGCATGATNTAACGATTCGGTACTACAAGCATTTGTACCGCACAAGAATCATCGCAACGATTCTTGCAGCGTAAGGAAATGTTCGTTCATACAGTTTCGTTACCGCACAATATTTTGTGTTGTATTGATTCACGATGATGGTGCATATACGGAACATGCGAGTAACGAGATTATTATGTGAGTAAGGATTCGGTACTTCGAGTCAGGGGCTGTATTCGTTACTCAGTAACGCAGACGACGTTAAGTTATTTAAGTTCATTGGTGCTCCAGGAGACAGGGAACAATTACAGATGGACCTTAGTAATGTGTTTAAATGGTACGAAGTAAATTCTATGTCACTTTACTTGAAAAAGTGTAAATTTATGTGTTTCTCTAGAAGACGCTTTCAATCATATAGCTACCGCATTTGAGAACATAGTGTTGATCAGGTAACTAATTTCATTGATCTAGGCGTAACCATGGACCCTAAGCTTGAATTCAAGTCCCATGTAAACTCTTTTGTTAATAGAGCTAAGGGCGTATTAGCTTTTATCAAACGTTGGGCTAAAGAATTCAGAGATCTTTATGTCACTAAAGCTCTCTTCACCTCCCTAGTCAGGCCGATCTTAGAATATGGGTCCGTCGTATGGAACTCTACATAGATATCAAACGCACTCTGACAGACTCGAGACGGTACAGAAACAATTGTTATTATTCGCATTAAATAATTTGCCTTGGGATTCGACATTAAATCTCCCACCGTACAAAAGCCGCTTGAAGCTCATAAATTTGCCAACGCTGCACAGCCGTAGAGAGATGCTAGGGGTTTTGTTCATGATTAAGATCTTGAACGGGATGGTCAATAGTCCCTTTCTACTGAACCAGATCACGTTTTGGATTCCTTCTAGGCGTTCTAAACGTTACAAGCCCATTAAGCTTACTATTTGTAGAACAAATTTTGAAATGCATAATGCTTTTCGTTGCCTATGCCTGGACTTTAATAAGCATTACGACTATGTTGACACCTCCGAGTCACTTTTTACCATTAAGAAAACCTTACTTGAGATTTTGAATAAATAACATGTAAACCCTTACATTGCACCTTATCGTTCAGCTGGTGAAATGTATTTCTGTTCAGTTTATGAGGTAAACGTGGTCGACTCGCATACTTTACCGACTGCGCCACGGTTGAGTTGAGCATTTGTAAATTAAACTTTGAAATGCATGATGCTTTACGATGGTTATGCCAAGATTATGATAACTGAATAAATTAACATCTTTAACCGGGAACTATAAATTACTCAATATCTATGACTGCTTAGTACAATTGTAATCGGCTTCATATATTTTCGCGACCGCGTAAGACAATACGTGCATGGATCGGAAACTCGGCCTTTCCGACCATGATCAACAGCTTGTCCACAGCGCGGAGCGGAAACTAGAGCTTTCCGCCTGCCACACACTCAAAGTAATGACTTCGGGAACATGGATCGCAACCTCGCGAAGCGGAAACTAGGTTTTCCGCCCGCCGCACACAAAAGTAGACTGAAGACTAGGCCTCGCCAACTACCAAACCTATCTCGACAGCCAGTTCGAAAACGCCCTATCTCAAAAAACTTTTCAAGAACGCCCTATTCCAGAATTCTGTTCAAAAACGCCCTATCTCAGCTGCCGATTCAAAAACGCCCTATGTCAGCACATTTTCAATACATTTTGAAGTAAGATAGGGCGTTTTTGAACCGAATTCTGAGATAGGGTGTTTTTCAATAAAACTCTGAAATAGGGCGTTCTCGAAAAGTTTTTTGAGATAGGGCGTTTTCGAACTGGCTGTCGAGATAAGTCGATCTTCCACTCAGCAGTCGATATATAAAAATGGTGTGAAAAATTTATAGTAATTCATCAATTGAGAACGGGTGGGCCGATTTGGCAATTTTTTTTCAGTTGTTCGTAATTGCCAGGAGAAGGTTTTTAAGAGAGAAGATTTTGGGAAAACCCTCCGGTGGACCAGGGACCGATCTATTCGAAAAAATCGAATTTATGGTCCGATTTGCTTAAAATTTCGTACCTAGGTAGCTTTTTGCCTAGATTAGCACATAGGGTCCTTTTTTCCGGGAAGTAGACCAGCGACCGATCTATTCGAAAAAATCGTATTTATCTTCCGATTTGCTTAAAATTTGTTACCTAGGTAGCTTTTTGCCTAGATTAGCACATAGGATCCTTTTTCCCGGGAAGTGGACCAGGGACCGATCTATTCGAAAAAATCGTAGTTATGGTCCGATTTGCTTAAAATTTGGTACGTAGTTAGCTTTTTGCCTAGATTAGCATATAAGATTCTTTTTTTCCGGGTAGTTTTACTTCTTCTTCTTATCCGCCAGGTTAGCTATCTGACAGAAAACGTGTTTCGTATTTTTTGTTGTACCAACTTTTTCAAAAAAAGTTCAGCTTTTGACGTTGGAAAAATAAAACAAAGGAAAGCCAAACATATAAGTAGAGAATTTGTCTAATATTTTTAAATCATTTTCTTCATAACTGCTTCTTCCGTGGATATTGCAACACACGGAATAGATGTAATAATGCAGGTATAGGAGCCACCTCATACCACAGAATTTATCGGCCGCCTATTTAAATAGTAGGGCTCGCTTGAAATATGTACATGAAGATGTATGGAGGTGCGCACACTACACCAACTTAATCCCTCCGACCAATTAGTTGTGGTGCAATGGAAAGACTAGCAACCCCAAATAAATCAGCGGCCGATAAAGTCCATGGTGTGCGATGGATGTAAAACATTTTAAACAAGAAGTATTGCAGTCACATTTTCGTTTTTAGGATTTTTATTCATGTGATTAGCAGTGGCAAGAATGTATGTATTAAATACGTATATATATATAAACTATCAGACCCGGCGAACTTCGTCCCGCCCAAGATTAATTTTTTTTTTGAAATATTTGGTCCAATGTTTTCGCCAGCAACTCAAGTTCATGTTTGGTTTTGTGGTCGACAGAAGGCATATCCCCATTGCCGTCTTAAATAACCTGACGAAAGCGTTATACCGGGAAGAACTCCTTGCGGCTCGATAGTGAATCGTCTTTGAATCTGTATAGTATAGTTGGTGGCAATTCACAAACTGGTGAGTATCATTGATCCACATTCTGTTTAGTCACCGTAAAGCAAGGACCGCAATGGTTCTGATGGTTGAGCTAACGGGAGTAATTTAACTTTGACCCCTGGTGCTTCCGAATCGACGATTTCCAGGACATTACCACAAATACTTTCAGAGATATACGGTACGAAAAATTCGATATGCATGGGTGATGCCACGCTCCCTTAATATATCCAAAGTCTGCAGTAGGTGTCCAAATTTCCAAAAATCGGTACAGCCGTTCGCGAGACCACCTCTTATAAAAATAAGGAGCTTCTCTTTGTATAATTAGTGTAGGTAACACCGGGCAACACCGATTTTGATGCGGCAAATTTTGAAGCTGGTTTCAATAGGCGTTTTTTTTTGCTGATTAAGAATANACATACAAAAAAACTCTCACGCATTCGTTATACGGAGGAAATGCGCAACATCATCAGCGAAAAAAATTCTCAAAAATCAACGGCATCTTATAGCCATTAAAAACTTGCACTTTATGATACTGAAATGGAGTGAACTACAAAACTGCATACTCAAAATTTGGTACAAAAAAATTTATTACGAAAAAGAAAAAAAAACACTGTATTCTGGGTGTATATATTTACAGATAGGTAAAAGTTTCAATATGTTTGGAAAGCACCACTTCCCTTTTCCAGTAGCCCCAAAATCTCTATAAAAATTTCCAGGACATTACCACAAATACTTTCAGAGATATACGGTACGAAAAATTCGATATGCATGGGTGATGCCACGCTCCCTTAATATATCCAAAGTCTGCAGTAGGTGTCCAAATTTCCAAAAATCGGTACAGCCGTTCGCGAGACCACCTCTTATAAAAATAAGGAGCTTCTCTTTGTATAATTAGTGTAGGTAGCACCGGGCAACACCGATTTTGATGCGGCAAATTTTGAAGCTGGTTTCAATAGGCGTTTTTTTTTGCTGATTAAGAATACGTAAGTATAATGTTTCCATCAGCTCCAGATTTTGAGAAAAATGTGGTGAAAGTGTAAAAAAATCGCGTTTTTTGCAATATTTGAGAAGCTCTAGCAATGAAACAAAAGGTCATAGAACCTTTTACTTAGGCTTAAATTAAGGCTTGGATTTCTGACTTCAATCCCTGAAAATACCATTCCTGCACCTTGACCCTAAGGTTACCTATAGTCATTTATTTAACGGCTAACACTGATTTTTACATCATTTTTGACGTTAAAAAGTAAATGAGTATAGGTGACCATTAGGACAAAGTGCAGGAATAGTACTTTCAGGGATGGTAGTCTGTAGTTCTAGCTTTAATTTAAGCCAAGGTGGAAGGTTCTATCACCTTTTGCTTAATTGCGGTAGGAACTCAAACTTCCCGAAATCAGTTATTCCTGTTCAACAAATGACTATAAGGGCTGCTTACTCCAACTCAACTTAGTTAAGCCAATTTTTTCGACTCAGTCAAGAATAAGCTGTGTAAAACGTAGGCTAACTTTTAGCTTAAGTCCAAAAGTGGCTAAACTAAGTTAAGTTGAGTTGGAGAAACCAGCCCTAAGTGACCATCAAGCAAAGGTGCGGGAACTTGCTTTAATCAAAGCCTAAGTGGAAGGTTCTACCACCCCTTGTTTCTTTGCTAGAGCTTCTCAAATATTGCAAAAAACTCCATTTTCTGACAATTTGACCTCGTTTTTTCTTAAAATATGGAGCTGATGGAAACTTTTTGCTTACGGATTCGTATTCAGCACAAAAAAATCTGTCAAAAATAGCGTTAACATTTGCTGCATCAAATTTTTTTCCATTTTCGTTGGCCTGTGTAATAAGTATTGTTAAATAGCCAATACCCGCATGCTTGCGGCGCCTTCAAACACCTTTCGAACTGTAAAACAATGACCACCTGGTCCTGGTCCACCTATCAGGAAAAATATTATATATGTTAACCCGACCAATAAGCTACCTACGTGCTAAATTGCAAGCAAATCGGACCATTAATAAGACTGTTTCGAATAGTTCGGTCTCTGACCCACTTAACGGAAAAAACGAATCCTATATGCTAATCTAGGCAAAAGGCTACCAACGAAGCAATTGCATTTTTTTAAGCATAGCTCGACCCCTGCGCCAACTATCGGAAAAATTAAAACTTTGTGCACTCCTTCTTCTAAACACGTTTCCAAAAAAGCAGCACCCATTCGAATCAGTTATGAAACATAGGAGAAAAATGTTCCCAATTGATTCAAGCTCCCAATGAATTTCACAATTATCCGAAATTTTCCAAGCTTTCGTCGAAAAAAATTCAAATTTTTTGCGTTCTTCCTGATTTTTCCGAGTTTTCCACTTAGAATTTTCTATTTTTCCATTCAAATGCCATTCCGAAGGAATTGCACACAAAATTCCATACAAAAAGATCAATTTTCGATTTTTCCAATTTTCCGACTTTCCCGGAGGGGTTTCCCACAATTTTCTTTCGTAAAAACCTTCTCCTGGCAATTACGAACAGCTAAAAAAAAATGTTAGCCAAATCGGTCCAACCGTTCTCAATTGATGAATTACTATACATTTTTCACACCATTTTTATATATATAGATATACGTATTTAATACATACATTCTTGCCACTGCTAATCACATGAATAAAAATCCTAAAAACGAAAATGTGACTGCAATATTTCTTGTTTAAAATGTTTTAGATCCATCGCACACCACGGACTTTATCGGCCGCCGATTTAGTTGGGCTTGCTAGTCTTTCCATTGCACCACAACTAATTGGTCGGAGGGATTAAGTTGGTGTAGTGTGCGCACCCCCATACATCTTCATGTACATATTTCAAGCGAGCCCTACTATTTAAATAGGCGGCCGATAAAATCTGTGGTATGAGGTGCCTCCTATAGCTGCATTATTACATCTATTCCGTGTGTTGCAATATCACCAGAAGCAGCAGTTATGAAGAAAATTATTTAAAAATATTAGACAAATTCTCTACTTATATGTTTGGCTTTCCTTTGTTTTATTTTTCCAACGTCAAAAGCTGAACTTTTTTTTGAAAAAGTTGGTACAACAAAAAATACGAAACACGTTTTCTGTCAGATAGCTAATATGGCGGATAAGAAGAAGAAGTGAAACTACCTTCTA